ACTACAACCTAAAAAAGAGATCCTGGCAGCATCTGAAGGAGTTGGAGCTGCCTTAGATGTGGTGGGCACTGAAGCACAGCTCCTGCTGGCACCCCGACTGCTGGGGCTGGGCTGGATGGTCACAGAGAGGGGACACATTGAGAGTGGAAGCTGCTGTGTGGAGTCCCACCCAGCGAGTGGCTGGAGCTGCTGAAGGACGGGGGGAATCCAGCCAGTTCCCAGAGGTGAAAGCATCCAACTGGCTTTGGATATTGCTGAGAGAGGAAAGTGGCTGGTACTCCACCTCCACACCAACTCCTGGATGGTGGCACACACCCTGTGATTTCCCCTCATCCTGTTGCTACACGCCCTTCTAGACAGTCCTTCCCCAGGACTTTCCTGTAGGCCCCTTCAGGTACTGGAAGGCCACCATATGTTCTCCCTGGAGCTTTCTCTTCTCTACACAGAACCCCAGCTCCCTCAGCCTGTCCTCTCAGCAGAGCTGCTCCAGCCCTCTGGTCATTTTTGTGGCTCTCCTCTGGACCCTTTCTAACAGGTCCATGTCCCTCCTGTGCTGGGGGCTCCAGAGCTGGACACAGGACTCCAGGTGAGGTCTCACCAGGGCAGGATCACCTCTCTTCATCTGCTGGCCACAGTTTCTGATACAGCCCAGGGTGCACTTGGCCTTTGGGGTCGGCGCTGTGCGTTGGTGGCTTTTGTCCAGCCTCTGCTCCACCAGTCCCCCCAGTCCTTCTCCGCAGGGCTGCCTCCTGTCCCCTCCTCCCCCAGCCAGGATTGCCCCCGCCCAGGGGCAGGACCTTGCCCCTGGCGTTGTTGAACCTCATGAGGTTTGCATTTCTACTTCAAAACCAGAGCTTTTCACGGTGCTTCTGCTTGGGTATTAGTGCCTAGATTCAACAGGGCTATTACTTAATAAATATCGGCATCAATGATGGCCCATTAGTGTCCCAAATGGGTTTTTTAATTAAATTTAACTTTTTGTTAATCAGATTGCATTGGCTTTTTTTTATTTTAGCTCTACTTAGAGGTAATTAGCACCTGCAATTTCCTTTTTTTCCCAAAAAATAAGGGTCCATGTTTAAATTTGTTCAGATTTGACTCACTGTTCAGTTTCCTAATTTTACTTTTATTTTTAAGAGAAACCTTTTCATATTATTGTTAGTTCTGGTTTGGGAATCATTTCTGCCTGAGAATTTTTTTTTATTATTTACATTTAAATGTGGCCATTATTTAAAGAATCATTTTTATTTCTCTATTTTAAAGCTTTGATTACTGTTTTGCTTCTGAACAGGAGCCATTTTTGCCCCTGAACTTAGAGGTATGTTAGAACTTAGGCATTAAAGACTCCCAACTAGTTTCCAATTCTATTTCTTTTAAAACTTAAAACTCTATTTTTTTTTTGGTCAATTCAGAGTCATTAATGTCTGCAATTTGTATAATATATTTTTAAAGTTAGCTCTTAATGACACCCAGTTAGTTTTCTGCTTTTATCACTTGAAAAGTATTTCTAAATTATTAAATATTTTAATTACAATACAGATTGGGAATTACTGCCTGGTTCATTAAGTAATAACTGTAATTAAATTTAGTCATTACCCCTAAATACTTCTTTTAGTTTTTTTATATTCTAACATTTTAATCATTGCTTTACTATTAAGTGGATTAATTACCGCACATCATTTATTTATTTTTTTTAATATTACTGCAGTTGTTTCTCTACAGGGATTACTTTTGTAAATTTTTTTTAATTACTTTTTTATAACTACAATTATTTATAGTGTGCTGTTTGTAGTTTTATTCTATAAACTCAGAATAATTTCTGCCTGCAGGGTTTTAAGCAGTAGCTGCAGTAGATCACATCCCCACTTGCCACCCGCCTGGGTCCAAACCCAGAGGAATCTGACCCAAGCTGTTGGGGAACTCGACATGACCCGAGACCCACCCCCTGCGAGACCCTCCCGTGGGACCCACTCCTCCAAGCAATTCCCCCCAGGCACCTCACTGCCCACCCACAGGCTCCAGGGACCGTTTCCCCTGCTCTGCTGAAGATCCAGGCACCTGGGCATGTCTGTGGAGAACATGGAGCAGCTCAGAACCATCAGGCGGCCACCCAGAGCTCCAGAAAAGGCCCAGAGCAGCCCCAAACACACCCGGAGACCCTACAAGGAGCCGTGGGTACTCGGGGCAGCCCTAGAGGTGCCGAGGTGGCCGCTCGGTGCCTAAAGGAAAGCCCAGCGTAGTCCCCAGTGATGCCAAGGTGGTCTGAAGGAAAAGCCCCAGATGCAGGGTAGCCCCAGAGGACCCCAAGCATACATGGGCCTGGCTGTGCCACCCCACTTGTTCAGTGCCACCCCACCCTGATGTGGGGGGAGCACTCCCCTTCCCCCCCAGAAGGAACTGGGGGGCATGGGTGTGCAGTGCCCGTGCCAGGGGTGCACTCCCAACCCGACCTGGAGCTGCTTCTGCAGGGCTGGGCACAAGCAGGTCCTGGTCCCAGATGAGGCAAAGGGGGCTGGGCAGGTGCAACCTGGCAGAGGGCTACAGGTTGGGTAAAAAAAAAAGCACCACAGAGCTCACGGTCCCCTGAGAAAGGGTTTAATGGGACACACACACTGCTGGAGGTCTGGGGGAACCCCCCAGGACAGACGTAGGTGCACCCACGCTATGTACAGAGCCATGCAGGCAGTGCCAGGCACTCCGAGCCCCCTGCCACCCTCCTCGTGGTGGAGAACTGCCCTCCCAGCTCCCTACTTGAGCACGATTTTGGGGGGGGAAGAGGGAGGGAGGGAGGGGGTGTTTGACAAGTGATTGCAGTCCTGACGAAGACTGGGATGTGCTGGGCTGGGGGTGTGGGCAGTGGGGATGTGGGATGGGGGCTGCCCACACCGTTGGGCATGGTGGAACTCTTTGGTTTCTGCATTAAGGCTGCGTGGAGCCACCTTCTCCAGAGGCCCAGGGGAGGCAGGGAAAGCTTCGAGGCACTGGAAGGGCTCGGTAAAAACCAGTCCCCCCACCCACCCAAGAGGTAACCTGAGGAGCCTGGTCGGGGTGGCAGCGCAATATCCTTCCCCTGAAAGAGCCCAACGCTCGGGCTGGAGCACGCGAGACTCCAGGGGGTTTCTCCCCTCTTCACCCAGCACCAGCCATAAATCTGCGTATAAGAAGGGGTCTCACGCCTCTGCCCCAAGTGTTTTGGACACCCCCACCCCAGCTGCAGCCACGTCCACGCAACGGCTGATACCTCCCAGTTAGGACAGGGAGTTGAGGAAATGGCTCTCCCCAGCCAGGGTGCTCAGCATGGAGCTCATGTCACCCACAGCCATGTTGGCACCCCCAGAGGCAGGCAGCAGGAGGCTGCCAGCAGGGCTCGGAGGCCCAGGCAGCAGCGCGGGGGGCTCTGCATCTTCCACGATGGCAGCAAAGTCAAGGTGCGTGTTCTCCAGGTCCAGGGAGTCCAGGCTGTTGGCCACCTGCTCCCCCGAATCCAGGTAGTAATAGGAGCTGCCTTTGAGTCCTTCCGAGCTCCCACCGTAATGCCCAGGACCCCCACAGCTCGGTGCCGTTTGGCCCAGCAGCTTATGCCCACCTTTGCCCACCTGCACGTGTGTGCCCGGGCCTGGGTAATACATCGAGGCATTACCAGACCCCTCGGGTGTGGGGCGGGCAGGGGGCAAGCAAAATACCCGCTGGGAGCCAGCTTCTGCTCTGCTTCCTCATAGGAATGGCTCGGCTGAGCCAGGCTGCCCACATAGTTCAGACTGTTTTGGTGACCAGGTGGTTTAGGGCCACCAGGTGGGTGTGGCACCATCTCTGGGTTGAAGCATGGGACGTTTAAGAGATGCTGGGGTTCTGCCAGACCCTGCAGGTGATCTGGTTTGGCCTGGTAACCAGAGTACTTGGGGCTGAGGTACAGCGGCGCTTGCACGGCTTGGCACTGCCCAGGTTCACTGCCCAGCCCCACACCAGACTCCCCCCTCTTGGAGGCTAGTTGGTCTCCCCACATCAGAGCCTGCTGGGCCTGCACGTAGCTCCGGACCATCACTTCTTTGGTGTGCACGGCGGGGGTTTGGGCTCTTCTACTGCCTGGACTCAACATGCCCATGTAACTGAGAGGTGCCTGTTCCTCAGGCTGGTAACCACCAGGCCCTACATTCACGGCTTGGCCAAAGGAAGCAGGAGGTGCCATGGGCCCAGCAAGCTTGGTGTTCTGGCAGGGGGCAAGCACCGGGGCAGGTGCTGGGTAGCGCTGCTCAGATTTGATCTGCAGTCGGTTCAGACGGTGCTCCCTGGAAAATCCACTGTCATGGCACGAGCCCACGAGTTTGGATTGCTGCCCACAAGAATGGGGCAGTGGGTACTCAGTACTTTGACGGTGACAGTGTGGCCCAGCCGTGGCTGCAGCAGAGGAACTGACACCCGTCTGCCCAGAACTCATTGCTGGATTGCCCTGGGCAGGTTCATCCCAAGGGGCTGCCATGGTCCCGCTGCCAGCAGGCACGCTGGCAAAGTGCTGGTTCATCTGGCACTGACGCAGGGAGAACTCGGACTGAAGCAGCCCCTCCTCCATGTTCCCAGGCCCTTCTGGAGTCAGGTGCATGCCCACTGTGGTCCGGTGAGTGGTGCCATAGAGGCCTTCGCACTGGAGCTCCGCACCACTCCCCTGGCACGGGAAAGTCTCCTCGGGGTAGTTCAAGTACTGGTCTATCTCCAGCAAGCCTGACTCCGTGCCCGAGCCGGGGCCGTCTATGCTCACGTTCTCCAGGAAGACGTTTTCACTGATGCTGGGTGGGCGTGGGGAGAAGACATGGCACTGACGATGAGCATCAGAGCCACCCAAGGGCTGCAGAGCAGTTCTGCCCACGCCTGGCACGCTCACGTTGCCCACGCTCTTAAAACGATGCACCCTGGGCACAGCACGAGGGTCGGCCGCGGGCCGGGCAGGGTCGCTGGCCCGTCGTACGCCATTCTGAGGCACCAGGTGAAGGGGAACGCTGCCCGCACAGCCAGGGTACTCGTTGGAGCTGTGCTTTCGTGGCAAACCGTTGGCAAGCGAGCGGGGTTCGGCCGGCCCAAGGTAGTCCCCAGGTAAGCCGCCGTGGCCACCCATTCCCACCCGCTCCACGGTGGGCAGAGGAGTCGGGGGGGGCCCACCGGTGGCTGCGGCGTATTTGGCCTTGAGACGGTAGC